GTGGAATATCCCACGAGTAACCGATTTGTGCCATGTTTACAGGCCCCGCCTACTCCATCCCTGGGATAAGAAGTGTGCTTGATATCGTCGCAATCCGGCCGGGCATTGTTAGGATGGATAGTTTTTTTCCCGGGGTTTACTACCGCTGGTTGTTTTCTACTTAAGGACCACTACTACTGGAAGCTGCGTGGAGGCTCATGTCAAGCCTCCTGACCCGGGTTTCGACGATATCAGCTGTATCGAGATCTTTGGAGATCAGCCTTTTCGAGATCATCCGATCCCCGATTCATTTCCCTCGACGTCGCAGTAAAGGGTCAGAATGGGATGGTAGTCAGAATACTTCCGTAGGGAAACGTGCATGACTTCAGATAATCCAGCCATATGCCAAACTTGTACTTGGTATCCCTTGCATGTGCATGCTGACGTTGCCTCACGGAAATACACATTAGCTTGCCGTTCAGCTGTGCTGAGATGAGCCCACAATTCCCGTTGCTAAGCGAGGTTGATCTGTGGGTTGTTATTGTCTTACTCTCTAATATCCCCTTGAATTCTTTGATGCTCCTCTGTAAGTTTTTGTAGTGGATCTAGCATTTTGGGTTGTCTTCTGTCTCGCCCGTTTTGGGTCCAGTTGTGAGAACACTCACTTCGATTCGCAGTAGATATATAATTAGGCAGGCTGTGGATGGCTGAGCCTGTGAAGATGAGAGGAGAAAAAGCAGTTTTATTCCAGCGATCCATGTCGCGCTGGGAAGATGGGGTGGGGTGTACACACGTAAGCCGACTTTTCTTGATACCTTGGACCAATTGATTCAATCTATGAACTATAACTGAAGGATTCTGCTTGGTGCCCAAGCCAAATGTCACCAGAAACCTAGCCCCGTCTCCATCTCCGCTGTTCTCATCGTCTTTTTGCCTATTCTCCACCTTGCTACAACAAATACGCAAATAGTGAAGCCTTTGCCACACAGGGCCCGCCCATCTTACAAATTCCGCCCACTGCAGAGAACCAACCGCTTAGAAAGACCTAAATCCCATAGATAAGAGCGGTCCATAGATAAGAGCGGTTTGTGCTAGAAAATGAAAATTGACGTTTGTATACGTTTTTTTTTGGCGTTGTGTGCTCATGATTATCGCAATAATAGCCTACAACTCTACCTTTATTCTTACTGTTTTCTATACTCTTTCTATCCTGTATCACCTGCTATGAAACGTCGTAAATCGTATACAGCAGCTTTCAAGCTAGACGCCGTCAATTATCGTGATTTGCATGGAACCTTGGCAGCGGCTCGTTCATTTGAAGTCACTGAAGCAATGATAAGAAAGTGGGTTGTTGATCAACAAAATCTTCAAGAGATGCCAGCAACGAAGAGAGCCCGACGATACATCAAATTCCGGCATTTCTAGAGAGATTCCGGCAGAAATTCCGTTAAAATCGTTATTTTTCTATATGAATTGTTTATTAAGTGGGCGGGGTTTAGAGTTGAGGGGCGGAGCTTCTTCTAAACTTCTTCTCCGATTTTTATTTATCCATCCATCAAGTTAGAATTCAATTTCAATTTCATTCCAATTCATTTTTCACCGGTAAATTAAACCGCTCTTATCTATGGATTTAGGGTAGTTTGCGGACCCTAGATCTGTGGAGATTTCAGAGATCAGAGACCAAATGTAGGAAAGCTTCTGCACATCGCGACACGGATTTCTCGGAACATATAGCCCTCCAAAGTCCACTATGGGGTATTACGAGCGCGATAAACTCAATAAGGCTAGACCTTGATGGTCAGATGGCGTGGCGAGCGCAGAATTGTACTAATTTCAAAGTCGGGAATTTGCACCAAACTTCCGTAAAGGCGACAAGTTAGGCCCATGAGGCTCCCGCTTAGCTCATGCCGACCACCGCTGTGCTGCGAGCTACTAAAGCTTAGTAGCCTATGCTATCTCTCTCCATTCCGAATGGTGAGAGTGAGGTGATAAGATAAAAGAGCTGATATCTTTATGATAACGACGAGTGGAAATTCGTACAAACATGCAGCTGGTGAGTTCAACGTTGGGATAGGGATGGTATCTTATAGGCATTTCGCTGGGAGGGGGACTCTGCCAGCGAGCAGTTCTTTGGTAACGAGAGTCAGGATAGAGTTGTACATGCAAACGACCCCTTGTGACTTAAAAAGGCATTGACATCGAAAACCTTCATAATCAGTGTTTTCATTGGATTAAGCACGAGACAAAAAAATCGATGTGGTCATAGGCAAGAGGTCAGACAAGAGCGGCCAGAGAGCACGCAAACAAGTAAGACGACCGATAAGACATCTATCAAAGTAGGCGGAGTCACTTATGCAGCCTACTACCTTACCGCCGTTACCATACAACTTTGTGACGCGAATGTTGTACAGTTGTTCGCTGCGGTTTCCACTATCATCCCCAAAAAGGCCTAGATCTTATAAGTTGTCGCGGGCTGTGCTCGAAGGTTTCCTTGGGCAAAGCTGGGGGCCGTCTTCGCTCGAAGTAATTGCTTCCATGCGAGACTTCTTTCGCTCCGCTCAGGCCACAGTTCTTATCTCCGTTACGTCCAATCCCAGTCTTGCACATGGACTCCCTTACCTGGTTCCCATTGGCCGACTTGAGCCCCCTTACTTCTACCTGTCGTGCCCGCTAGTCAATAAGACGTAGTTGAAGTTCTGAAGGGTGACAAGATGCATATACTCACTAGAATCTAAAAACACTGAAAAACACTACACTTTCCCCTAGTAAACCCCATTGTTTTACCAAGTTTCCCTGATATTTTCCAATGGGAACCGATAAGCAGTACTCATATTGGTTCCCAACAAAAAACACAGCCGTACGATTACAACGACGACGAAAAACAACAACTTTTCCCCATTCATCGCGTCTCGTAAAGAATTCCGGCTAACGACACACAGCAGTTGCGAACGTTTGTCTTGACGTTTACCTGCAGTTGTTCCGCGAATTGTCGTCGTTTGCATTGTAATTGCATAATTCAAAATTAGTTAGTGAGGTTTTTATCCACGTTTTTTGTGTGCTGTTTATTCAGGGATTGTTCTTCTTGGGAAGTTTACAGTTTTGTTCACTGTGAAGCTTCCTGATCTTTCCCTGAACTTTTTGTTCCCCTCTCGATCTTCCGTATATGGTTCGGTTTTTCATACATTTATGTTACTATTCAGAATTGTATTGATCACGGAACTCTTGTGACTTGTAGTTATATATGTTCCGTTATAGTGCGTATGTTATTTGTGTACTTCCACTTTTAATTTTTTTTTGTTTTCAAGTTCATCAAGCGCTGTTTATTGTAGGGTTTTGAAATGGCTCAACCTGCACCTGATGCAACCAGTGCACCTACAAAACCTTCAACCAATCCAGGTGAGCTGTTTTTCAGTTATTGTTTTGTGAAAAGCTTATGTTATCAAAATGGGTAATATCGCAAGGGTTCTTAAAGATGTTGTTTACAAGAGAAGTGCGATATTCCAAGTAACTTTCCTGCTAACAGAGTTTTTTTCCGCTCTTACCTTCTTCGACGTCTTCCAAAGAACTTCACATATAGCAAAAAGCAATATTTTTTGCATTGCCATATTGCGAGAAGTGGAAATGACTCAGTGTTGCAAGATTTGAAGTACATTGTAGGCAAAGTGCCTGACGCAGAATCGGCGAGCTTGACTTTCCCAGAGCCCAGAAAGATGAAAGTCGAACCATGATCAGGTTATCGAGCTTCCCGAAACTTTTGAGACCATTTAGTTAATCCGTCACACGTCACGTCAGGTGAATAAATAAAAGGATCGTTTTTACTGTCAAGCAATCCATTTCCAAACTGGGGCACGCATTCTACTCTCAGTAGTGGATTACTGAATGCTGTTTGGCCTATACAATGGTTGGCGGGTGCATGCCAATGTACAGCTCAGTCTTCTTATCGTCCCAGACAAAATATGGTATGATTCACCGTCCCGGAGGTAAAGGCCTAGCTGTCCCGGGCAGGAGCTGATCGGACGGTTTAATACACGGATCGTTTGCGTCGTAGGCGTGCTATTTGCCACTGCGTCACGTCTGCCTCAGCAGTAATAGTTATTCTCTTAGAACTCTACCATTTCATTTCTACCATTACGGAATGTGCACGCACGACCGCACGCGTCATAAGTGGGCTTTCTATCTGTATGCCAAGCCTCTTTTTAACTATTACGCCCTCAAAGGACAAGTTTGCTGAATTCTCGCCTCTTGATGCTGGCTCTGGGAACAACTATTATATTTTTTGTCTAGAGTGCCGAGTAACCCATTCACTTACGTTTATAATCGCGAAAAAGGGCTGACTTAAAGTGAAACCAGTGCTGTTAATGCTTACCACATTTACGACCAGCAGGTTTGGAGGGTTTATGGCCTCTTCGCTAGAAAAGGTGGGGGCACTGAATTGACGCTGTGGGGCGACAAAAACAAGTGTCGTATTGCTTGCAAAAATCTTCAGTGACCACCATACTCCACAGGGAACTTTATAGTGGCTCCACTGGGAAAAAGACTGTCGCAAACCTAGAGCGACGCCAGAAGCGATGTTATATTTATGATCACGACTCAGATTGACCCGTGCTTGACCCGTATAGATGAAGTTTCTGCAAAAAAGTGGTATTTTAGGGCTGCGATAGTTGAGCAGTACCAAAAATAGTTCTCTATTCCTAAATGGCAAAACATTTCGTCAAGTGCCTGCAACATGAAATCTTTTCAGAGCTCATATTAGCATTTCAATTCCGAAAATTAAATCCGGAATGGTAAGCGTGGGAGAATGTCGCAGTTTTTGCAGAGAGCTTTTGGAATCCCTTTAGAAATATTTCTAATTTTGCCATGCCTACTTTCGCTCGGCGTGAATAGATTTTAGATTGCTAAGGCACTAACTTCTCGCAACTGCAATGCTATAAAGATTTTTGAACCCATTTTTCAGGGAGTTTCGAAGAACTTCATCGTAAAACCCGTGATGTCTTTCCTATGTGTTTGAGGGTGCCAAAGTGATGGTGACTAAAGGACTCAGCTCTCACTTTCAGGTGTGCCCACTTAGACCTTTTCAAAGCTTACTGTTCCATGGTTATTTTCATTTTGTTCTGAGTTTTTCATTTTCTGTTGCCTTCCAGGTTTCCCATACGCTGTCAATTTCTCCCACAAATACCGGGTATCGATTTGGTGCCACATACGTTGGCACGAAAGTTGCAGGGCCACAGGAACAGTATCCAATCTTTTTAGGAGACACAGATGTCTCCGGAAACACTACAGCAACAGTATTACATCAGTTTGGTAAGTAACTATGAAGAACACAGCAGTCGGATATATTTTAAATTTTATGTTTTCAGGGGACAATTATCGTTTACGTGTACAAGCTCAGGTGCAGCAAAACAAAATCGTTGGAGCTCAAGGGGGAATTGAAAGAAGGTATCTCTTAACCTCTGTTATGCTTCTCAATTTGCCCTAATAATTTCGGCATCTTACGTTTTACTCTTTTCACGAGCCGTTGTTCCCTCCAACAAGCGGCTGAAATATTGAAATCCAAGTATAAATACATACATGATTGAGGCTGTCTGGGAAACTGAGCAGGAACAGCTAGGCTTTTCCGAATATATTTCTTTATGGCACTCAATGATAGGTGCACTGCACTAACAACTGAAACCGGATAAGTTACAAGCTGAAGCTTAAGCACTATGAAAGAACAATTCCTCGCAAAAACTGTGAGAATCAGATTTTCAAGCAGTTCATCTCGGGCTTTCCTAAGACCGTTGAAAAATTCTTCGTACGTATTTTTAAATTGTAGTTGTGTTAGGAATGTTATAAAGTGGAGCTCGAACGATAGAGTATTCCACGATGAGACATGAGAAATTTCATCTTTCTATTAATTTGCACTACTGATTAGAATAAAATATGAACCTTCTCTCTTGTTCAGCAACAGTTACGTTTTTTACAAGGCTCGTTGTTAACACAGCAGTTACCTTACTTTCAGAGGTCGCTTAACCACATTTGGTCTAACGTTTGCCAATACTGATCTCGTCAACGAGAGTGGTGTAATTGTCGGCCAGATGTTGCGGAAGTTGACGAACAGACTTGACGTTGGTGCTGAAATTCTGTATCAGTACGGAAAACAGATCCCAGGTGCATTTTGATTAGTCCTTTACTGTGATTTTCGTGCAAAGTTGCAGGCTTTACGCTTGTCTTTTCGTGAATCAAAACCTTTCTTCCTTTACGCACATAGCGCAGTTTTAATTACAATGTTGAAAAATTAATTTCACTCCTTTGGTATGACCTCTTCTGATGATAGCAAAACGCGTTCCTTCTGTTTTGATTGTCATCCGTTTTTGACTCCATTAAACAATGAAGTTAGCTTTTTGGTGGTCTTTTGAGAGCAAGTTAGAGGCAGCTCTGCGAGTTAGCTGCTGGTCATATATCCGAGTGGTTGGAGGGAGAATGCCTTTGAAAATTAGAAACTTCTGGGTGTTCCCGAACGCAGGTTTGATAAAAGGAATTGCTAAGAGTGTCCAGGTTCGCTGGCATGTAAATAGGGGCGGGTGTTTGTTACTCCGTGAGATATTTTCGACATTTCAACTGCATCATCATTCCCAGGTAGCTATATAAAGTTTTGAGGCCATTTCAGCTTCCCGATACTTTTGTAGTCGCCTTTAATGTTTTTGTTTACCACAATTTTCAGAGCATTCTTTTTAACTGTTGATTGAAGTCCAAGTCACTGTATGATTTCATTGTTCTCAGGCCAACAAGTATCTATGCTGTCATATGGAGCTCGCTATACTACACCGATATGGACGGCCGCAGCTACTCTTGGTTCTTCAGGTTAGGGTTTTGAATGACGCTCCTGTAACTCGCTTATCCAATTCTGCGTTCATACTTTACGGCTACGTCGCCGACGTCGGTCGCCAAAACCCTTGCAATCGACGTCGAATCGATTACTATCCAAACTTCTGAGCGCCGTCGTCGATTACGGCGACGTGGTCGTAAGATACGACGGGTGTGCCACGCCCGCCTCGATGCACGCTCCGCATAGGACGGGTGTGCCACGCACTTTTCAACGGGTGACCACTTGAGAACCGCAGTTCACTTTTTCCCGGTGTCTGGGGTGCTCTGGGAGCGTTCTAACAAATTTCTTCCTGGCTCCGCCCACCTTAATGCACACTCCGCCCACGACTCCCAACGCAGCTGAATAGTAATCAATATTAGTCTGCTATCGAACTTGTCAATTTAAGGTGCTCATTTCACGTATTATCACAAGCAAGCTGAGAATCTCGCATTCGGTGTAGAATTTGAGAGCAATTCCAATGTTGGAGAGGTAAATTATTATTATGTGGATTAAATAACTGCTGTTGCAATTTCTTTCGACTTTGACTGCAATTTTTCATTTTTAGGCAGTTGGCACATTTGCCTACGTGGCTGAATTGCCCGACGAAGGCGTGACAATGAG